AATTATTGGAACAAAATTCCATCAAATTTTCCATTTCAGTTATATTCTAAATCAATGAGTGTTCCTCATGCTCATGGTATTGTAATGAGGGTGTATATATGAAAGTTTTTGATAGATTTGGCCAATTTCAGGTTGTTGCTATAGAATACTGAGAAATGTTTTTCAGGAGTAGTGAATGACGATAGCGGTGAGGTGTGCCCTCAGGCACTACTTCTATTGGCTTGTCTTCTCTTGAACGAGATAACTGCATTTCTTCGCGAAACATTTCAGGTACTTTCGAATGAAATTTTCTAGAAAACAACACACATTCAATCCAGAACCATATGATCTATGAAGCATTCAACATCTCTCTTACAGAACAATTCTAACATCAAATATTATATTTCGATTGTTGAACTCTCAACTTTCAGACAATACCCCGTTCGAGAGTGAGTAGAACAGCGGCCGGTGCAACCGGATGGGAGAGGTTGATGTCACATCGCCGGTGGTCAATTCTATCGAATACGTTCAATGCCCAGCAACAGCCAACTATTACTGGCAGTGTCCAGAGTATCACTGATTTGAATCTCGCTATTCATCGTACGCTTCCAATTTGTTACAAAATATTCATCCATAATCAATATTTTCAACTTTTCCTCAAATATTTGTTATTTTATTGCCATTGCTCTAAATTTTAAGTCGTTCAATCATCTTCAGCATAGTGTTAACGAGTGTTCATTATTGCAGTAAACGTTTGTGATGAATTTAAGTAAGTGTAATTATTTTGTGGATTGATTAAATCAGAACACCGCTATTTCGAGTTATTATCGACCTGAGTTCATGAGCAAGTGCATTTTGTTTTCATTTGATGCTGAACCGGAACGAAACATTGCAGAAGCTAGTGAACGACGTATCAGTCTTTCGACAAATGAGGAGGACTCTTCTCCACGTGGCTCGCACGATACGATTGATGAGATAGGCGTTCATTCGGATAAAAAAGGTTCGTTACTAGAGCAAGGAAACATGACTGAAACGCTACCGAGTGATCAATTAGTGATGTGTGCTGATGATATATTTCATAAATATGGAATCGTAGACTGCCTCGTATATTCTGTTGCTGCCCGGCACATTGATTAAGACTTCGCTGAAGTTGCTTTTGGCATCGAAACTGTTATCTTTGATGCGCTTTCAGTTTGCGATTCGTCGAGATATTCTGCTTAATATGGTCTTATTTCAATGTTTTGCTTACTATTAATAGTAATATTTTGCTTAAAAGTTGCGTGTTGAATTTCGCTCAATTTTGAGACTGTTGTTATCACGAAACTTAATCTCACGCTCCATTGCTTACTGTAGCCTTCCAGTCAAGTCATATTATGAATGCGCTTTTCGAAATCCTTCACCAACCTACAGACGACATTCAAACCACCACCACCACCACCACAATGACACCAACACGGTACGGTGGAAAAGCTCGACCTCCACTGGTCACACAACGCTGCTTGACCTCGCAGTCGACTGTCGATGATCCACTGGTTACACAGGAACGCACTACTTCGTGCATCCGTTCTCAGTACACTCCTTCGTCGTTGCGTTCTCATCGCCTTTCGTCCTTCTCGCAAACCGCTGAAGCTGTTATGAACGCAGTCAGCAGTGTTGTTGTTCCTGAACAAGGTTCTCACCGAATCTAATCTCAAATTCACCATCGAATCATCATCACGCCATGCACCACCCAATCCTCTTCTTCGCTATCTCAAACATTAAGCTTATTATCCTGTTTGTGCCGGATTATTTTATTACCCTCTTCACCTGTTTCTTTTTTCTTCTGTCATCATTAAGCATTTCCATTTCATCCTTTGAATTTTTTCACTGATTGATTTCTTCTGTACGCAATGAACATCAATGTTACTGTGATATACTACCATTTCAGTGTGATCTATCGGTGGACTTGTGCGAAGATACCTTTTAATTTCTACCTTTCAATTTACATATGATAGTATTGTATGAATTAGTGCATCATGTTCTTGAAGTGTTTTTGAGTGTGAAACTCTCTTGTATTTGTCGCATTTCCACTGTACTATACATTTATCAGTATCTGCTTTGTTTGTGATATTTTACGGACATTTTTACCCCACCGATTCATATCTTCCACATTTCTACTCCAGATTTCATTTTCAGATCTGTCGTGCAATTGACGCCTGTCAAATTTCTCAAATTTTTGTTCATTTCTGTGCAAGTTTTGATTCTAGAGCATCGCTTTGTAAGAAAACTTTCGGAATTGAATGTTATATTAATGTTCATTTGAAATTATGTGGTATCAGTTTCAGCTAGGCGATTAGCTCAAGGAAGACAACGTCTTCTGAAACGGGGTTCACCAATCAGTGGACAGCCAGCACTCGAATCAAGCAGTAAGAAGAAGTCATCATTCAGGTATTCTTACCTTTTTTGGGATCTTTTTATGTGCAGTTTTGTGCGTATTTTTTGTTCCGTTCACAACAAAAATCCTCTTGAGCCTTCTCATCCAACTCAACAACACAACAACAGTTTTTT